AAATAGAAAATAGAAAATAGAAAATAGAAAATAGAAAATAGAAAATAGAAAATAGAAAATGAAAAATAGAGAAATAGAGAAATAGAAAATAGAAAATAGAAAATAGAAAATGAAAAATAGAGAAATAGAAAAATAGAGAAATAGAGAAATAGAGAAATAAAGAAATAGAGAAATAAAGAAATAGAGAAATAGAGAAATAGGAGAATAGAGAACAGAAAATAGAAAATAGGAAATAGAGAAATTAGAGAAATAGAGAAATAGGAGAATAGAAAACAGAAAATAGAAAATAGAAAATAGAAAATAGAAAGTAGAAAATAGAAAATAGAAAGTAGAAAATAGAAATAAAAATTTAAATACTCCCAATGTCATGTATTCCAAAACACAATCACTTATTTAACACTTTAACTGCAACATCATCTTACTAAATATCTTCCCAATTTAACGAGAACTCGCGAAACGTAAGGATAATAAAAAAGTAGTCGATGTCACTCGACTTGACTCTCTATTATAGTTTCATGAAATAAAACACTTTAATTTTGTGAATTATTTGAAGTTCTTCCAACTCGATCATCGTTTCACATTTTCCAAAAGCCTCTAACGCTACAAACATTTCCCTCGATAAAGAATCGCGTCACAATGATACTATATTCAAAGCAGGATTGCACAATTCCACTTCATTTATCGAAACCATTAACGGATGTAACAAGTTTCCCGAACTCGTCCGATCAATTCTTCAAAAATCTGATTACCGGGACAGCAGTGATTCAACAGTTCCAAAGTCTCCTTGGAGGGATAGTTTGTAATTCGATTAAGAACCGGGATGAAAAGTATTGAAACCCCGTAACGCGGATAATGCTCCGAGGCTCGGTGAAAGATTAAAGAAGGAAGCTCGCGAGAGATCTCCTCCTTTCCTTGGAACCTCTTATCGGAGGACGTGGAAAGCAGCATTCGGCTGGAAGAGCATATTTTTATCGGGACCGTCGAAAGCGGAACTTCCGAAGCGAGACGCGAGCTTTCTCCGGGCTACGAATTAATTTCGAATGGCTCGCGAGAAAGCATGAAGCCGGGAGACGCTGAGATCGGCGATCGTGTTTCGCCGAGGTCAAATCGCAGCTGCTCGAATTTGATAATTATCAAATCTCCGCGGCGAGAAGTTCCCGAAAAAAATTCCTGGCCGGTTTTCTCACGGATTCGCGCAGAACGACGCTAAGATTCGCGAAACCCTCCCCCCATTTTCAACCCCCGTAAATCAGGAATCCCACCTGGCAGCAGATAACCTCGTTTCACGTTATCAATCTAACCTTGTCCCAGTTTAGACCCGGGCTTTCAGCGCGCCGCTGTTTGAGCTGTTTCTTTTTTTCCATAAATCACCGTTGCCATTCCATCGTTCCGCGCTGCCCCCGCTCTCATTTGAATTGCCCTGTCGCGAGACACGTTCGCACCACCTTCGGAGGGGTGACGAAAATCGATTCTTCTAAAGTGTAACATCCCTGGAACGGGCTCCCAAAATTTTCCGATTCTATTCAAAGAAGCGACAGGGTTCAGAAACTGCTATTTTTTTCTTATCGAAAACGAAACCTGTGTTCCAACGTTTTCGGACGGTTTCTCGATGAAAGAAGATCCGCTTTATCATCGCTAGGCCGCGGATTTTAGGCATTTTTTGCTAGAATGTCCAGGTTAAAATTCAAAACTGCGGAGACGTCAGGAGAATTTAGGAATATCTTTCGGAGGCAAGGGTTACTTTGAAGTAGCATAACTTTGCGAAAAAAAATCGCAGCTTCATTTCTTTTTTTTTCAATTAAAGGGGAAGGATCGAACTTCGTTCAGCTGCAAACGGTATCCCTGAACGAAATTTAATAAAGTCCGCGAATTTCAACAAACAATTTCTCGACAAGCAATTTTCAATGACAAACATGACCTCGCATTTGGAGGGTTACACTGGTGAGGGTGCAGCAAACTTCAAATCCAGGAAGATTGTCTTAAAGTAGAGGTTGCAAGTTTTAATTTAAGGTAAAGATCATCATCCTACGATGATTTTTTGTGAAGTTATCGTCAGTCGAAGTTGACCTATTTTGATCAAAAAATTTTCTGTGCTACAATTTTTTTGAGTTGTGTATTATATGCAACTTACTAAAATGACTAAAATGATTACAAGAAGAATGAAAATTCTATCAGATTTACAATTTTGATTTTGCAGAAAAATCCGCGGCCTAATCATCAACTATAATTAATTCTTATAACGATTGGTTTCTCATTTCGAC